CGTGGCGACACCTTGGTAGACTTTAAGTCGCTTTCGTCGATGTCGACTGCTGGCACCGAGCCTCTTGGTGCATTTATGATATATATTGGCTCAGTTTATTTCATTATTTTACAATGTATCTATAACTCTGCTTGTTGTAGCATTTCACATGCAAGATATTCACATATTTACATTATGCGTTACTAAATAATAGTGATGGACCGAATCTGCCCAACTTCAGATTCGGCAAAGTTCGGCAAATGCCAAACTTTTGAAAGAAAGTTCGGCAAAGATTTGGCAAAAATTCGGCAAATGTTTGCGCACGCGCGAGGACGCGACGGAGCCATGGATTGCAAATGGACGCCGTGCAGTCGTGCGGTTACCATCGTGCAGTGTGGTACAACCAGCGGTTACGGCGCGGTGTGGAGCAGGCAATGCGGTAACTTTGCGTTTGTGAGCAAGTGTGGTCCTCTTCAATATTTTCTGCCTCAAGAATAGAAGATCGACCAGTGAAGTGACAAATGATGTGGTGCATTCTGAAACATTGGCCGACAATTACTTTAAAGCACTCCTCGCAATTATAACAATTCTGTTTTCGGCTCAGAAGTACTGTGTTCTAAAACAAAATAATATTGCTTTTTCAGTTAGTGTTAATTCACGATTTCCATGTATCTGCATAAAACTAAACACAGAACTATAATGCTCGACGTTGCACATCCGACCATTCCTAACTCTCCCTATCTTTCAAAACGTTTGTGTGTGTCCTAACACCAGAAACTGGCATTTTAAAGGTTAAAATTGAGACGTTGCGAATATGGGACGCACACTTTCATGCAAAGACGTCAAGTGACTCAAATCGAAAAACATGCATATTTACAATATTATTATTATCTCTTCCAGTGAAGGCTCAGCAACCATTGCATTCGTTTTCGCGCACAAAACGGTGACTCCCAGAGAAAGCAAGAGCGCAGCGTTATTGCCTTTATTTTAGCAATGTACACCAAGGAGTAGGGGTGTCGCGAACCGGTCGAGGTTCCAGTTCGACCATGTTCGACTTTTTCTAAATTTTAGTGGAAAGTTCGACAAACCTTGTATTGAGGTACGACTCGTGTGCTCATGCGCGACAGGCTGACCAGTTGACTTTGGATTGGGTGGTGAAGGCTAAGGGATGAATCAAGGGCAGTGCTGATTGGTTATTTCAGTTAATACAGTTACAAAAAATTAAGTTATTAACTTCTTTTGTGATTAGAATTAGTTTCTTTTAATTGCAGTTGTTCACAAAATTAAAATAACCCTTTGCAAAAAAAAAACTTCTCCAAACCTAGACATGCTTATATCAAGGTCTGGCCACACTGTCCACAAAGTCGAAGCGGTCGAATTTGGTGAAAAGTTGGAAGGTTCATCGAAACGGTTCGACCCAGTCGAACCCCGAAAGTTCGACCTAAAAATCCGGTTCGACAGAAGTTCGCGACACCCCTACCAAGGAGTTTGATTTTCCACATACATGCAGGCTTGCGCAGATGATGCCTCAAAACCGAAACTCTCGTAGCATGATTCGTGACAGTGCCACGCTCGCTTTTACCCGACCTTGTTGTCATGCCACTTCTGCAAGGAGTCACTAAAATTGCCAGTAAACACAAAAATGTCACCGATACAATTATCTTGCAGAATATCACCTTATTTAGTAATATCTATGTCAATATGTATTACATGTTGCATTTAAGCTAAGACGAAAAAACGAAATATCAACGTTAAGTCTGGTAACAATGTATTTTTGCCGAATCTTTAAAAAAGTTTGGCAAAAGTTCGGCTTTGCCGAATCCCAAGATTCGGCGCCGAACTTTCGATTTGGCAAAAGTTCAGCCCATCACTACTTAATAAGCACGTTTACACTCGTGATCCAAAGTTCACTGAAGGCAAATCCATCTGTTATGATGGGAAGCATCGGAAGCATGATGTCAGTGACGCGTCACTCGTCTGCTCTATAGGCAGTTCCCTGCACCGCGGAAAACCGGAGGACGTGAGTGATCACGGAGACGTAGTGATGGTTCTCTTTTACCTTTGCTGAATTCGCTTGGCTGAGGTGCACGGCGACTAATTTATCTTTGCCGCTTTTCTTCAGCTGCTTGAGGGAAGCCGATTTGGGACATCTTGTATGGCGCGCTGTTAGAGTGGAGTCATAGTCCACCTTCCCTTTGAAGAGCTTTTCCAGTTTCTATTGCCCTCTGTCAAAATACAGCACTTCCACTGTTCTGTCCGTTAATAGTAGAAAACGTTGCACCACTCATGGCGACATTGAAGCTCCTGGATGTGATCAGTCTAAACCAGTGGTCCACCATCTCCAAGAACCAAGCTGTCGTGAAGGCCTTGCATGAGAGCTGTCCCATCTGTACTAACAACCTGATGGCTGAAGCCACAGCATGATTGAAGACTGCCACTGCACTGGCAGCATTTATTTTCTCGAAATGGTTGGTTTCCAAATACTTTTCCTTCAGATGAGGTGCAATTTTCAGGTCTTGGCGGGCATCAATTGCAGCCAGCAAATGTCATTAAATGCTGCCGTGGGACAGCAAATGAATGACATTTTGGGGCTAATGTGATTTGCTTTGATTGGCATTATTATGAAATAAGCGTGATGTGAAGTATTGTTGCAATATTACACACTGCTGTACCACGGAGCAGCTCGTGCCACATAGCAGATGGCTGCACACTTAGCCGACACTCATGCATTTTGCTGCGACCAACCAGGTGGCACAAGCTGCCGTCTAAAACACGCAGGTGCTCATTCGCGCATATTCCATCAAATAAGGCTGTCACGCCCGCTGGCTGCTGGTTTGAAGTTGTTCATGACAACATTTTTAAAGCCGTCTCCAAGCCAAGAAAAAGCACTGTAGAAGATGAGCATGCATTGTTGGCAATTTACTGCATGAGATGGTAGCAAATTTCAGTCCTCTTCCCCCTTCCAAGGAGGGATTGCAGAATTCTTTCTTTTTTTAGCTTTCATGCCTCGTGAGCTTGCTTACTCTATATTTTTCACGTTTCTTTTTCACCAAGGTTGGCCGTGCTTTCAACTCCTGGCAATGTTTACACATTTCTTTTAGATTTGAGTATCCTTTTAGTTTTTCCATCAGAACATCAGTATGATCAAAATGGATGCAGGATCACTATCTACATAGAGTGTACTAAGCAAACCGCATTTACCCTTTTCAAGCATTTTTGCACAAAGTGCGAGCTGCAGCTCGCTGTTTAGATTTAGCAGGCCCTCCTTCTCGGCGTTCAGACGGAGAATCTTGGCTGCCCGCCTGTCGAGCTCAACCTTCATTCACCTCTTGGTGCTCCTTCTCCTCCTCAGAGCCACCTAGATGCTCCAGCAGCTTCCTTTCAACTTGTCTTTTTACAGTGCCCTCAGTCTTTTTTTAACTTTCCTGAAATGAAAAGCGTGATTTACTAAACAAACACAAACGTGTATTAGTTTGTTTCATTTGCAAGATTTCCATTAAAGGAAAACTGAAATACAAATAACACATTCTATGTTACTTCCGGAACGGGTCAGGTATTTCCTAAGATGAATTATTGTTGATAAAGATATTTCTTTTGCACAATATTGTCACGAATGATGAGGCGACGAAACAAAGAGTAACTGAGGAAACTGAAACGTTTAATGGGGTGAACTTGTGCCCAAAACAAAAAGGAAACAGAAGATAACAAAAAAGAGCTTCGCGGGCGTCAAAGTCAGCATAACAACAGGATCGAACGCTGGGGCGAGGTTGACTCGGAAACCAACGTGGATTGATCGGGCCCATTGCACAGCGTCGATGATTGGTCAGTTTCACTCACAAAAAGCACCAGATTGGTCAGTCTCACTCGCACACACCAATGATTGATCGGTCACACTGGCACGCCAACGGAGAGTGGTCTGGCTCGTTGCACGGCGTTGATGATTTGTTGAGATCGTTGTGCAGCGTCGATGATTGGTCAGTTTCATGCACGTAATGCAAATGATTGGTCATCCTCACACGCACAACACCATGATTGGTCGGTCTTTCTGGCACACCAACGAGGAGTGGTCTTCACGGCTTCGAGGCAGTGACGGCACCGCTCGCAGCGCCGTTCGTGGAGCCTTTGTTTTCGCTGCTGTCCAAGTGTTTCTGTCTTGACGCCTGGTCCCGCGGCTTCGAAGGGGTTATGGCATCGCTCGCGGCGCCATTTGTGGAGCCTTTGTTTTCGCTGCTGTCCGAGCGTTTCCATTTCGACGCCTTGTCCCGCGGCTTTGAGGCGGTGATGGCATCGCTCGCGGCGCTGTTCGTGGATCCTCTGTTTTCACCGCTGTCCGAGCGCTTCCACTTGGATCCCTGGTCCCGCGGCTTCGATGTGGCGCACCGTGGCCGCACCTGAAGAGCCGACGCTGACCTACGCCGCAATGGCCCGACGACTGCCACCAGCTGCTCAACATTACCCAGTGGCGCCACAACGGGACTCACCAATGCAGGCATTTTCACTGCACTGTCCTTGCTGCCTCATGAAATTTCGCTTTATCGGGAAGGTAGCCATAAACAACAGCTGTGATTAAAGATGTTTATGACAGTTAACATCTTTAATGTTGTTGTTGTTTAATGTCCGACAGTTTCCCACTGGCACTTTTCACATAGTGTGCCTTCAACACCCTGTTTTGAGCCTCTATGCCAGGGGTGGCCAGGCTGGCCTGGCCTAAGAGCCGCACACAAAACCACGGAACTTCTAAGAGCCGCGGGGGGGGGGGGGAGGGGAGGGGAGGGGAGGGGAGGGGAGGGGAGGGGAGGGGGAGGGGGAGGGAGGGGAGGGGGAGGGGGGGGGCGAACATAATTTTCGTTCAGTCTGACTGTACGTATGGGGGCACAAGACTGTACGACTGTACGTACGGGGGTACAAGGTTGCCAAACTGCAAGCTGCAGTGTACTTTATTCTGAAATTCTTTTTCTTTTTCCTGGGGAAACGCGGAAAGGGGCGAAGGGGGGGGGGGGGGTGTCCCCTTACGAGGGATCCGCAAGCCGCACTTGGACCAGCAAAGAGCCGCATGCGGTTCGCGAGCCGCGGTTTGGCCACCCCTGCTCTGTGCTATCATTTGTGGTCAAGACAGCATCCAATAACAGCCTGTAAGACATGGCCCACAGCTCTTTTACAGAGGGCCACGCTACTTCAAAGTAAATGCGGAAGTTTTCATTTTCTCAACACTCTTAGGCAACAAGGACTTTGAACGCCCTGTAGAAGTCATTGGGATTTGAAGCACTCGCTAAGTGTTTTATAAGGTTCGGAGCCTCATCCAGATCGGACATGCTGTTTTCCTGTCTGCCCAGCCACCTTTGCCATGCCTGTTTTTTATGGAAGTCGCAGATGGAGATTTTACTCTCTGGAAGCACTTGCTGGAAGGCATCTATTTTTGTTTTGCTGTAATCTTCCATCCAGTGCTGTGGTGACCAGTTATTACACCACTGCTTGAAAACGTCTAAAGCCTCGGTGATACAGTGGGCTGTATCGAACTGCACAATAAACATACCAGCTTGTGTGTATCCTGATGGCATTTTCACAGCAAGCAAGGAAGGTGGTAGGGCATGTTCACCAGCTTTGTGTACACAACCTACTGAGCCTCCATAGTTTCTCAACATGTTTCTCATGAATTTTGTCTGGAAGTAGAAGAGCAACGTGTCCTCACACTCACTGGCAGCACTGTCTTCCACGCCGTCCGAGTCGCTGCTACCCACGCAGCTGCATGCCGCATACAGCCAATAGACAATGAAGCATTGGGGCTCCTGATCTTTTCAATTAGAATGCTACTATTCTCTTGATCAACCGTGCTGAAGCAGTCTTTCTTAAAAACAGCTTGGATCTTGTTAATGATATCACAATGTGTCTGGTAAAAGGCCCTGCAGCTGCCATCAGGTTTTCACTTGCTTAAAAAAAGTATGTCATGCACATAATAGTGCTGGCTGTTTTTACATCTGATACAGATGTAAGTCCTTCCCTTGCCAACATTTGTTTTCTCTCAGTAATGTCCCTCTCCGTGTTTAGGCTAAAAGCTTTATGTCCTCGAAACCATGGTTACGATGGGAATTGCAGTTGGCAATTCTATTGTACGCTCTTCTCTTCTCTCTTTGACCAGTCTGCTGCTCTGCATCAAGTGCCTCCTGCAGCTGCTTGGCCTTGTCTGTTTTCAGCTGACCCTTTTTTATTGGCCGTATGTTTGGGGCACGTCCACCTAGAAAGTAGGAATTATTACTTAAAATTAGCAAACATCAACCGAGTCTAATGTGCCCCCATCTTATATCACAACAAAGTTGTCTGCACTGTGCAGTTACTGGCAAAAGGAAAAGCTGATATCATCTGCATAATGCTCTTGGGCTTTTCCTAAATCCATTCATTTATTGGGAATACCCTAAGGGGCATTACATAAGGAAAAATAAGTATAAAAACAGTTGTCACAAAGTATCCTCTTTACACTCACTGCACACAATCTTTGGGAGGCTGCTGGATCGGTGCATGAGATTGAAACGTTTGCAAGTGCATTACCATGTAACATACCTGTTTTTTTTTATTTCTCCCAAGTCTTTTTGTAGTATTACATTCCGAACATGCAGACTTTGACTGTTTCCTTGACAACTCGAAATGATACATTGTCCAGAGAGATTTGAGACCTGTAGTGGACCATGAAGGACGGCATTCGCTGAAAACAAACACTGAAGACAATTTATTGACGGTGTCTAGTTTTATGCATGGCAGAGGGCAATATCAAATCTGGATTTAGTTTTTGTTTAATGGCAACAAAAAACTTTAACCTCTGGCAAGAAAAAAACTTTAACCTCTGGCAAGAAATTCTGGCTCTCCTTAGCAAAAATAATAATAATAATGATCAATCAAGAATCAACAATCAGTTTTATTTGGTGCCCAGTAACAGCCATTCGACCGTGGTACTGGCACACCCTTAAACATAAAATATAAAAAAATGCACTTGACCCATACAACACAATGATTAAAACCAGATTACAATAAAACAAAATTCAAAACATGCTTTTAAAAAAAGGGCCGTGCATAATGAAAAGGCGTCGGTCGAACAGACACGACCGGAGAGAAGTGAACACACACTGACAATCGGCACAAAACAAAGAATGTCGACAATGAGAGAGATCAAGGTAATCAGGCTTCTTATACGTAGGGTTTGGAGTTTTCGGTTTAAACCGATAAAAACCAGTAAAAGTACGCCGAATTCATGTTCGGAGATTTGGTATTAACTAAAAAAGGGTAGTTTTTAGGTTCGGCATTTTCGATTTAAACCGATAAAAACTGATAAAAGTACAACAAATCCATCTTCTAAAATTCAGTTTTAACCGGAAGCGCTCACTTTTACCTTCCAGTCGTACCGCAGAGCCGTGGCGAAAAAGTGGAATGACAGTGTCTATTGAAACGTGTCCGAATGTATGAGATACATAGATGCCATCACGACGTTATGGTGTAATGTGCGCATCATCGATTGGAATGTGAAGTGAGGAACGCCCCATGACTTCGCCATGTACGAACGTGTTTTCAAAATCATTGTAAGGAAGACTAACTTGATGCGAGCTCTGCATGTTGTGTTGTGCTTCAAAACGTCGCACCGTGCCTCTTTCGGCAGTCACAATATGTTGATTGGCCGATTTTGACTCGGGCAGCGCTTTATCTCCTCAGCCTGCCAGTGTCCAGTGTTAGCGTTGAGAGGCCATTCTCGAAGCTCAGGGTCATATTAACAGGAAAGAAAGAGTGCGGATCAACGAGGAGAACCTGGAAAAGTACATATGGGTTTACTATAATAAGATCACGTAATCCTGATGAACAGAAGGTGAAGTTCCATGTTTTGGGGGCATAGGCTTCATATATGACATGTTTGTACTGTTGTGTTTTTTATTGATTCTTTTACAGTTGCACACATTTGCCATATAAAGTGTCCATTTGTTTTTGAATATATCTGTGCCATTATTCTTTGAGTAATCACAAATATCAGAGCTACAAGGATCATCTGACCCGGTGTCCATTGGTGTTTAATTTATATTCACTGGAAAAAGCCGATAAACTTTTGTGGGCATAAATATATGCTGAAAAAAACCGAAAATTCTAAAATAAACAGAAAAAAGTACACCGAATTTTGAAAAAAATAGAAACTGAAAACGCGGAGGGATTTTATAAAGCTTTGAAACATGATGAAAAACAGCCTCGGATAAACAGGGACGAAGAACTGGTAAAGAACTGTTACTAACTGGCCCATATCACCACCCTACTTCAGTTTATAAAGCTTTCCTTCTATTCTCAAAATATGTTCAGGTCGCTGGGGTGACCATTGTACGTTTTCGGCATACAAAACGGAGGGTCATGATTGTTAGAAGGGCATGGTACGTAGAAAGGTAGCGGCACACGCGTCGCCGTGCGTGGGATTCGTAGAGATACTAACTACTTCTGCGAGCAGACTAGGACAGTCAATAATACCATGAGCTGTTTTAAACGAGAACAATAAGTGGTTTTTCCCGACGTTGATTTGAGCTGGATAAGTGTAGGTCACTCATTACAAACTTTTGTGTACTAAGGGTAGTCTATCATGAAAGTATCAATATTTATAGATTGACGAATTTATTTTGAACTCTCTCCAGCTTTAAAGAGTGTCTCTTACAGATGCCATTCCACACAACGGATGCGTATTCCATACGAGACCGTAATAATGCAGAGTACAGGACAAGTAACGGTCTTGGGATGCGAAAACTCTCTCTGACATTCTGCAGGCCATTCCCAGTGTACGATATGCGGACAAAGTTATTTGAGTTACGTCAGCATCGAAGCGGAGGGAAGAGTCGAATAACTCTCCTAGATCTCGAACCTCACTAACGCGACATAAATCTTCGGAATGAATTCTGTATGGGAAACATCTACTGTGAGTCTTTTGTGTTTGACCCATTACTTTTGTTTTTTCCTTGTTTAAGAGCAGGCCACTTGTCAAGCACCAATTATCAAATGTGCACACATCTCTCTGAAGCATCTTGCAATCTCTATCACTGTATATCTTGAAATATTTTAGTATTGTCTGCATATTGTAAAACCAAAGAATGAGGCACAACCAGACACATCATTGACAAAAACAACAATAATAATAAAAATAATTGTTATTATAATCATTATTAATTTTTAATATTAATAATAATAATACATTTTTATTGATATATTAGGCCTGTTAGGGATGGATATGTTTACAGGTACATCAAAGCCAGTGATGGGCTTGTTGGATGTCACCCCCCCAAAAAAAACCCAGAAAAGTGCATGCAAATTCTACATAAAAACATTGAAATGAGTGATGGGGCGCAGGCGAGCTGGTTTATGTTTATGATTTAAGACAACCCTGAGACTGGGGAAAACAACGACAAACACGACAAAATGTGAAAACATTACCTTCCAAATGACAAGGTATAGCACTAAAATACCCCCCCCCTCCCTCCCCTCCTTTTAGCACAGAGTACTAAATAATTATGGCAAAGCATGAAATTATAGGATGGCAAAAGAAAAACACAAATACTAATTCTGAATGTTTCCAGCTGAACGTAGAAGTAAAAACCAAGGAGTGGAGAAAAAGAGACACACACTGCTGGACTATCAACCATTTACTGAAATTCTTCCTTTTCCTTTTCATCTACCCTCATGAATTAAACTATTTACTGGAATTCTTCTTTTTTCTTTTTTCACCCACCCTCATGAATTATACGATTGAGATCCCAGGGGTAACTTCTTCGGTATGACATTTGGTGGCTAGCGTTCACATATTCCTGACTTGGTTCCTCACTTGGGGCGCTCCCAGAAGATACAGTTTTTCTTTCGAAAATAGCGTGATGGAGGCGGCACTCACGCAGTCATCCCTGTGCGCCTCAATAGCCAGAGATTCCAGGATTTCCCTTGCAAGCTGGTTTTTGTGCTTTCCGACGATGGTAATGTTTTCGAAATCAGGAGCACATTGGCATACTCGGCAATGCGCCGGAAGATGGCCAGCTTACATTAGTGCGCCAACGGAAGCTGCATGCTCCCTGGTGCGGTCGTTAATACACCGCCCAGTTTGTCCAATGTAGCTTTTGCCACATGACAACGGAATACGGTACACAACTCCTTTTTCGCACGGGGCGCACATTGTTTGGTGCGCGATGCCACAGATGGACCTCTGATTTTGATCATTCCTACAATTTACCTTACGGCACATGGCATATGCCTTGTTGGGGGCTGAGCATACGACCTGTACGCCTTGTCGGCTGGCGATCTTTTTTAGGCGATGCATTATCCCGTGGATGTATGGCATCACCACAAGAGGTTTGGGGGGCTTCTTTTTTGTTGGTTGTGCATTGGTTTTCTGTTTTTGCCGCACTTTCTTGCAGGGGGTCTCGCATACTGGTATTAGGAGTGTACTTGCATAACCAGAGTCCTGAAGCCTACAGAGCTGCTTTTGAAAGCTACAGCCGACTCTATGGGGGCAAGATTGTTGTAATGCCGAGGCGAGAGCTTTGGTTGCCAATCCTCGTTTTACAGTTCTTGAGTGTTCGGAGTTGCTTGGAAGGAATCCTTTGCATGAGCGGGCTTCATACATCCAGCACACGTGGGTATTTCTGAACTCCAAGGAGAGATCCAGAAACCTTATGGACTGGTTTACCGGAAGTTCCTGGGTGAAAAATAGTCCTGGACAGCTGTGTTTAAAGGTGCGTGAAACACCATCTAAGCACCCGTTGCTGGGCTCGTCTGCATTGGAATTACACAGTACGAGAAAGTCATCCACATACCGGAAAATGACCTCGATGCGTTGATCTTTTAGATTTCCTTGGATATCCTTACCGTACGCTGCAAGGTACAAATCGCACAAGTATGGGGCTACTCGGGATCCTGAGCAGACTCCACTTTTCTATACATAGCGTTGCTCCTGGTGTGATACCACAGTCGCTGTGAGGTAGATTTCTAGAAGCTCCAAGAAGCTATCGAGGCTCATACCAGCTGCATTCTGGAAGCATTGAAGGCCCTGCTCCTCGATGGTTGTTCGGAGGATCATCAGGAGAGCGGCATGGGGAATCGAATAATACATGTCTGTGATATCTAAGGAGAACGCAGATACTATTTCAATATCCTTTTTTTGAAGAAAGGAAATCACTCGGTCCGAGTTTGGTATTCTGAAGGGGTCGTTTACTTTAACTTGTGCTAGAATCTTCGCCAAGACCTGTGACACATTACTTTGCCACGTGTGTCTCTCTGATACGATGGCGTGAAAAGGAACATGTCATACCAACCGGCTCAGCTCCAGGCAGTCACAATTACTAACACACAATGCCAAGCAAAGGAAAAAAGATCAGTCACATACGCACGCAAAATACAAAGTAGTACAAAGCAGTGCAACTAAGAAAACGAAAAAGTACAAAAGGAGAGGCAAGGTTCAGAATCTGAGATAGCTATGGCAACTAGCACATCAGGATCATTCTATCTCCTTAGAAAGCAGGCATTAAATATTTATTATCAAGGCTAAGAGACAACTTTTTTTACAGAGCCTTCAGTGAGGTGATGTCGGATATATTCTTGGAGAGCGTTGAATATGCGGGGAACATAAAATCGTGCGAGCATTTTCCATACCGAGTCGAACAATGCAGCATTACAAAACGAGGAAAGCGGCGCAACTTGGGGGCGAATGTAGTGATGTCTTAAAATGATTGCTCCAGAAACCGCAAACGGTCTGAATAAAAAGTTAGTGAAAATTCGGCAGTCTAAGACCCTCAAAAATGTTGGCACTGGCAGACAAATGTGAATTGTAGAGGATGCTGGTCAGTATTTCTCTTAATAAGGTGTTCTACTTTCCGTGCCGGCGACCTGAGCAGATATCAAACAATGTTATGCCGTAGCGAAGCACACTCTAGGAAAGCACGTGGGCTATTAAAAACTGAACACTGATGGGCATAAAAGCCCGTGTGTTATAAAGCGTGCAGGATATAGTTTGTAGTTAGTCGCATGAGTAGGACCCAAGTATTTCACATAGTTAACAGACTCAATCAAGTCACAGTTACATGGATTGCAGCTTGACGAGTGGAGAGGAAACTTGGCATTAGCGTGATACCTCTTAAAATGCATTCTACGAGGTGTATGTTGTTCAGCCGTCATATTTTATCTGCGCGATGGAATCAGCGCCATTTTAGTTTCTGAATATTCGTGGGTTGAATATAACTGCGTTACAATCGGGGGTATGTTAAAATTGTGCGAATTTCATACAGGATTTTTTCTTCCACAAATAGATGTGCATTCATGCATTTCTTGTCCTTCAAAATATTTTTTTTCTATACAAATGTTTCATTATACAAATATTTTACACAACAAAATTAGATTCGTATCAGAGTTTTACTCTACTCCAACTGGAAATAAACAAACTACTTACCCGAGAGGGCCAGCACCTTTTGTGGAGTGAGTGGTGCAAACGCCTTTTCTTGCCCCGCCATCTTTGCCTGGTTGGAGAGGGTGTTGGTCACCGACCTCTCCAAAAGCACTTCAAGTAGCCATATGGAAGAAGCCTTGATTTTGCAAAACATGGAGTCGCACTCCGCTTTCCGCATGTTGCCCCAGGATTCCTGGTTGATTTACACACCTTGCCCCACATGGATCTGCTATAACCCTTCCCTGCCCGGTAAAAACGTTGACCACAAATATGAAATCTTTTGTGGATTTTCAGACCACTGAACGCCTCTTATAATATATCTGAAAGATAAAAAAGAAATTTTACTTTCATTTTCAAAACGGACCCACAGAAATGTGTGGGTCGGGCTTCAATTGCTATGAATCTCACGAACTGTAAACAAATATATGCCAAGGAAAACATTGCCTCAGAGACACATTTGCCTCACAGGGAAGTATGAAATAACTTGAAGCAGTTCCTATCGCTTGTCAGGCAAAGGTAAACATTGCATTTTTCGCAATGCGTCCTTGACCGTGAGTTGCATCCCGACAACCTGCATATTCGGGGGGTCTTCAGGGCATCCACGGTGGACCAGTGGTCAAAGGAATCTAGCCGCTTATCTTCACCGGGGAGCTTTGCCACCTTGTAAGGCTGCTGAATCTGGCCATTTGAGTCATCGACCTCTTCCGCGGCTTCACTTCTTTTTCTTTTGGGTTTTGAGCAGAGAGCTTCAGCGACTGCCAGGCGGAAGTCGAGAAGGTCCATAGTGTCTCGCTGTGGCACAGCATTTGCCCTGCAGGCGTCACTGTATTCCATCCAACAGTTGGCAAGAGAGAGGTCGATCATGTGTAGGCTGACCTTTAAAGTCCATTTCCTTGTCTTGATAGCGATCCTGTAATATTCCAACAGCTGATCACAAATGTCGACGCCCCCCATGCACGCATTGTACCTTCGGACAATTGCCGGTGCTGGTACATCGATGTACTTTTTTTCCTGTTTTGACCAGCGCTTTACAGGTTCAACAGGACTGGCTCCAGTAGAAGTTGATGCAAGGGTCATGGCTCTGCTGTCCTTCCACTTGACTACAACCACATTTCCATCGTCACGGGTGTACCCCGCGTATTCTCTCTGCTTCATGGTGTTGTCACTTCGAAACCGAATGTTCTTAATTTGATTTGCCATTATTGTTCCTGTTCCTTCGATGCCCCTCTTTAGAAGCTCATCCAAGAGAGGGATCGTTGTGAAGTACCTGTCAAACAAGATGAGGGACCTCTCGGGCAGAGTTTGCACAAGTCTCCAAACAACATTAGGACCAAGGCCAAGTGCTGTGTCAGCAAGAGGGGTTGATTTCCCTCGATATATCTCATAGTCCATCACCAGGCCTTTGGAAATGGTCGCAACAAAATTTTTGAGTCCCACTGGCCGTGGTTTCCCTTTGACGAACTGTCGCAGAGAGGACCTTCCCGTGAAAGGTATCATCTGTTCATCAATGGAGTAGGAAACAGGTTTCCTCTCCAGCTTATGGCAACATTTTCTGACAGCATCAATTATTGGCTGCACTTTCCACAGTCTGTTCTCGTCTGGTTCTGCGGGTGGCCTCTCCGTGTCAACGAAGTGGAGGCATGTTCTTAGCATCTTGAACACTTCACGTGCCATGACACCATGACATTGCTCACCAGCTCGAGCTGAAGCCCCCTTCGCCAGTACATGTGTATGTGCGGAAAGCGGAGACAACCCATTATAATGTGCATGCCAAACAGTTGCTTGATCTTGTGTGAAGTCACCTTCAGAACCTTTCCTGTCCGAGACATGTGGTACATACTTGTCTTCTCAGCAGCATTCTCGAAGAACTCGTCGTCGAAATGTCGCACAAAGTAGCTCGACGGTGTGCCGACAGTAGGGGGCTCATGGTCCTCTTCACTTGCTGGAAGCTGATGCAGTTTTTCAGTGAAGGTCTTTCCATGAAACGTTTCTGGTCTTTTTCTTCAATGTCGCACTTAACGATGAAGGCGGGGGAAAGAACCCTTTTAACGTTGAAGGAACCGGGGTTGCTTCCTCGTTTTCTCCTTCATCATCACTGCTGTTTGCATCTGGAGCATGTAGCTGCCAATCGGGGTCGTCGCCATCACTGCTGTCACAATCGATGTCAGACGACTCGAGAATCTTGAGTATTTCCTCCATGTCAGCGTCATGTTCAGGATTTAATATTCCTAGAAATAAAATAAAATAAATCTAAGTAACAAGCATTTTTTCATGGCGACGTCAAATGGTGTTTTTGTCGTCATACATGCCCAACCCACACAAATGTGCGGGTGGCTGTTTTGAACGTGCTCGGCACCTCTGTGCGATATTGATATGGCTATTTGTACGCCTAATGCCGTTTAGCGGGTCTCGGGATTGCTTTCTAATTCCTAGTTCTGAAAATGCACAAGAAAAGAAAGCAAAATGATGCACTTAGTTTTCAAAGGCGGCCGGCATGCGTCTCTCGAGGAAAGTGCCATTTTGGAAAAGGTCCAACTAGCCCCCTTGCGGCGCAAACCGGGGACTACTCGTTTCAATTTATTCCACGCACCCACACAAACGTGCGGGCTGGGTCGGAACACCTAGATTTGATAAAGGTAAAACAAATTCTATTTGAACCCGCACGTTTGTGTGGGCAGGGCAGGAAAGGGATAAACAAAAGCGAGAAACAGTTTCACACATACCGGTCTAGTTGACTCAGAGTTCTACTGTATTTTCCAAGAAGATGCATGTAAGAGGCACTAAAATAATTACATGTACGAAATTTAGGCCTTTAAATTTAAAACAGCACTGTCTAGGAGTTTCTATGTACATGGGCGTCTGCAAAGCTGATGGGACCATAAAGCTTCATGGCATTTGTATCAAACAGGTATGTAATCCCTAGTTGCATCAGGTGACAGCATGAGAATAGAACGTTTTGCAGGCCCCGGCTATTATTACAAGTAAGAGCCTGCCTACAATAATGTTTTAATGGTTTCTGGTAGTGATCGATTCAATCTACTGTGCTTACTCTATCCTAAACTCTTTTAATGTATGTCATATATTGCATGGAAGTGTGAAAACATTTCCATGCAATCCTCATTTTGGAGGCCGATGGGGATATCCACAATCTCGTTCTTTGCAAGGGTGTCCTGCTCAGCAACTGAAAAGCAATTCCACATTAATTGAAGTAATGACAGTTTAAAGTTTCTGTATTTGTTCATTAGCACAAATGCAAACAGGATCATGTTAATAGTTGATTAAAATTTTCTATTCAAGGAGCGTCGTGATGCTTTTTGCGAGCCCCTCAGTGGTGGCACATGCAGTAAAACATCTGGTAGAACCTTAATAATTTGATTTCGGTTAATTCGAAATCCCGGATAATTCACAATATTTCCACGGTCTTGTAACTTTTCATGACATGTGATCAGAAATCAATAAATTTGAAATATCTTATATATCTTCCCTCTGATTTTTGACAGTTGGCAGTCTGCATATTCGAACGGTATTAAAAATACTGACGAGCACTTCCAACTGTGTCGCTCGCTGCACAGTATACGCTCTAACAAATGATTACAATAAACATACTTGTTCAACACATCTTGCAACGTCAAATAAAGTATCACAAATTACATGCACTTAATATTGTTTCCTGCTTTCCCTTTGACCAACCAAAACTAGAAACCTGTACCTTCCGTTGTGTACGCCTTCGCTCAAGACAGTGACAATTCGCATAATTGCCACACAAAATGAGTTTTTAAAGGGTTGAACCCGCACTCCGGATGTATGACTCGCCCGTTAGCCTGATGATCTCGGCATCGTAGTAGTCGCAACGCGTGTTTCCGTCCCCGTCCCTAAAGACTTTATAAACCTTCTTCCACTCAAAGCCAGTGATGTTGGTTGGGTGAAAGTTTTTCACGACAGCCTTGTGGACTATGCACATCTTGCCATCTTGTAGAATTTTGACTTTAGCGTACATACTCATTGGGAGAGAAAGAAGAGGTATGAAACATACAGAAAAACAAAAAAAAAAACAGGAAAGATGCAGAAGCACGTCACAGTAGGGGGGGGGGTGCGGTACAGTAGCAGATGCGAATGCGAGGGAACACACGAAGCACCAATCCAGCACGAAAGCAACATGGAAACCATGGCCACCATCGGTCGCACATTGCTTGCACACATTGCCCCATCATTGCACCACATTGCGACATCGCACACGCGGGAATACGGAGAGTGACGGGAAGACGACAACCCGGATATATTAGTCACTGACAGTTGAAGAACGGTGTTCGAACCGGAGAAAGGGAACCATTCAGTAGCTTGGAGCGATGTGAACGTCCCTCCTCCCCGCTCCAGGCTTTCGTGCTTTCTTCTCTTGCCAATGGCACAAGTTGGATTTGGATCTGGATGCTTTGTGGTTGTGAAAAGATTGATTATGGCGAAGTTGGCGAAGATATTCAAATTTGTTTTATAATTTCAAAACAGGTTTTGAAACTCCGAAGCACAGTTCAATCTGAGCACGCCTGTCATTGAGGTGTGCTGCATTCTCAGGGCGAATGAGGTTTTTTTCCCGGTGGATCTCGCGACGAGTGCGTCGGATGGTTTTTATTTTCACCCTGTATAATGTTGGAAATATCTGCGAAAGAAACTTCTCTATGGGGTACGGGGGAGAAGTAAAGCCCCCCTTCATGTTTTAAAAATAGTGCATCCGTTCTATATGGGAAGGGGGGGGTGTTTAGTACGAAAGAACAACACATGCGGAAATAGGACACAACCATACACAGCAACGTAATAATAAAACACCTGAATTCATGTCAAAAGGAGACCCATTCAGAGGCAAAGATGCATTCGATGATGCCTTGGCGTTCAAGTTTGAAGATCTAAAAAACCGTGTGGCAAAGCGTTATCGGGAGATGACGTAACTTTAACTGGACAGGTGGGACAGTGTGTCGCACCTTCGCTATATGAGTGTGCTTCCGTACTAAACCCAGCTTTCGTTTAAACGGATGTTCGAAGTCTTTGAAACAAGGCGTCAACTTTATTTTGCTTTTTGTATCAACTTGACTGCAGGTAGTTTGATTCAAGGTGGAGACATGCAATCTGGTGTCAATTAGAAGATGTAATGGGCAACCGTTTACCCTAGCGTCAGCGAGGAATGCATTCAGGCGGCTGGGATCG